CGGACGCGCTGGGCCGAAGAATCCTGTGTGGCACAGAGTACGCAACCGTGCGCTATGTTGGCAGCGTTCCTCCCGCAGCAGGTAAACGCCACGGTAGTAAATAACTTCTGCGTTTAGTGGTTGTTTTCCCAATTCTAATTATGTTCTTAATTTTAAAAAAAAAGTCAGGTAGAATGTGGCAATTTACTAATTGTTTTTTCCTCGTTCTTGTGTAAATATAGCAACTTTTTAGCCAAGATGAGTTGTTGGGTTTTTTAGAAGTCTTCTCTTGTCCAAAGGAGCATAAGAGGTACTTTTGGTTGAAGTTGGTTGATTTTTTTTGTTATAGTGGAAAGATCTTAGTGCCTTCCTTTTTCCATTAGTTTTCATGAATACTCTGTTCCCTGATCTCCATCTATTGGCATAGTCTGTGAAGGAGAGAGACAGCAGTGACAGTTCAACAGACCAGGCGCTTCTTTGATAACATATTCAAATTCATGGGGACAAGTAAGACTCAGCCCAGCTTGCTGAAAAATCCGAGCGGTCTGAGTGTGAGAGCACTGTATGTCATCTCTGAAAAGTTGTGGTGACAGGATGGGGAGATTGCTGATGCTTGGAAGGATTAGCGTAGGCTGTACTCAGCTAGCCTTGCATACAGCTCCAGAAGAGGTAAGAAGGCTGACTGGGCATCTAGAGACTCATCAGCCTCACTTTAGTTCCTGGAAAGATCACATAGCATGATTCCTTTGAGTCCATTTCCAAGCCTATGAGGGACAAGGGAATGCTTGATCCTTATAAAGAAGAACAAGCTGTATTTGGCAAACCTAATTACCTTCTGTGGTGATATGACTGGGAATGTGGACAGAGGGAGAATGGGGCATGTAATATTCCTTGACTTTAGTAAGTCTTTTAATGGTGTCTCTGTAAATAATCTTACTTGGAAGCTAGAGAAATGCAAGCTAGATGAATGGACTGTTAAGTGGGTTGAAAGTCTGCAGGTCTGTCAAGTGGAAAAGTAGTAATCAATGACCTGATGTCTGGTGATGTGTGAGTACTACAGATACAAATACTGGGGTCTCTATTGTGTATCAGTGTCTCAGATAATGAACAGCACTCACACTCAACTGGTGGTAGAATTTCAGTCCAGAGCAAGATTTATGAATCTTACTTGTAATAGATTACATCATAAGGGACAATGATGACAAATTGTGTCTGGAAAAGTTCAAACTGGGCAGCAGGAAAAATCTTTTTCTCTACAGAAGTAATGCAGCACTGAATAGGCTGCCCAGTTAACTTTCTCTCGAGAGATTTTCAAGATCTGGCTAGGTAGAGACTTACCTGACTGACCTGTTTCAGTGCTGATGATAATCTCCTGCTTTGAGAGAGAAGGTTGGGATAGATGAACTTCAGGGATTCCTTCCAGCCATAATTTCTGTGGCTATAATGCCATACATTTGAAAATGTATCTACTGTATTTTTCAGGAATTTGGCTTGGCGTGGAATGGGATGATCCTCAGAGAGGAAAGCATGATGGTACCTATGAAGGAACACAGTATTTTAAGTGCAGGTGAGCTGATTCACAGTGTTGGCATATTGACAAGATGGTCATGGGAAAATGTCCTTTTGCAATTTTAGAGCAAATCCTTTTGTTATCAGTTGTTTGATTTTAAAATGATAATAAATCTGAATGCTGTGTCTAGCTATGCCGAAAAGTCTTTTGCATTGTTATTAATCCAGTTAGACGGATTAGGATATTGTAAACAATTAGAAAATACAAGCCATATTTTCAGAGGTATGTAATAAAATGTGACTTTTTTATTAATATTACCTTTAGTATGTTTAGACCTTTACTTCAGTAAGGAAATCAGCATGTTCTGCTTAATCTTCCTTAAGTAATTCCGCAGTGAAATATTGATCCATATTAACTGTCTCAAACACAGTTTAGATTTGGACTTAAGATGAACTTGTCTGTATCTTGTTAAGGGAAAAAACTAAGTTCTTGATAATGGTTTGGATGACATTTGTGTCACTGAGGGATTGTTAAGTATGTTTGCTTGCATATAATATGTGCAAAATACAGTGCAGCTGTTTGGGGTTTTTCAAGTATATACATGCATTACTTTTAAGTTTAAAGACTTCAGCACTTAACGTGTTTGAAATTGAGGAATACAGGACTGTTGATTTCCATGTCAGGGGACACTGCAGCAGCTAAAAGTTTGTGAATTAAAAAAAAACCACCAAAAACTGGGCACATTCATAGAAGAAAAGCCATCAATGGCTCATAAATACTAAGGGGTGCTAGCTCGGTAAGTTCATGAGCACTAAAGTGGCAAAGGATGAGAGACTATTCTGTGGCTGTAGCATCAGAATACTTGCCCTGTTGTCGTATTTTTCCCAACTATTTTCTATTGGCAACTTTTGGAGAAAGAATGTGGTGTTACATGGATGTTTGTTTTGACCACTAGATCACAACCAGGCTTATGTTAAGGAGATGAAATTGAGAGATTTCTAGGTATTTTTCTGTCTTCTGCTTTCCAAGTCTGGTAATAACTGTAAAAGGGTAGTTTGATTACAGTTTGTTTCTAGCTGTTCAAGTGCTCATTCAAGTGATTTGAATCTAATATAAATCAAATCCTCTGACAGTGAGCACTCAATTATTAGAGGGCTTTTGAAAATATTAAAATAAGTGACAAGTCAAGAAAATAAATTAGCAGTTGTCTATCATCTTGGTTTTGGATGTGTTTTTTCTTTTGTTTGTTGGTAAATGTAAGAAGACTTTTCTCTGAAATTAATTCCTCATGTTAATTATCTTGAAAAAGTTAAAGCCACCAATGAGAGGATAAGCAAATCATCTTTTTTTTTTTTTTTCCCCACGTTGCATGTAAATGAAAGTTGTAAGAATGGCTGGATGAAGTCAGTCCAAAGATTTGTTTGGTTTCCTGCCTCTGCTATTGGCTAATAGCAGGTGACTGCAGAAGTGTGAAAGAACAATAAAAGTACGTAGCGATAGTTTTCTAGAGTCTCCCTAGCTTTTGCTAGTCAAGGTTCAGAGATTTTTCTGGAGCCAGAGGTCGTGTATTCATGCATGTACTTTGTTTTGCTCTCAATGGATGATTCAACAGTGAAAATCTGTTATGAGAATTTCCCCAAAAAGAATAATTGAAAGCATGTAGTAGCAGTGCATGCATTTGCTAACCTTCGCGTATGCTAACTTTTGAGCATGTGTGAAAATTGTGATCATTGCCATTTTCATATGAACCTTGTTGCATTCTCCTGTCTGAATATATGAATGCAGTATGGAAGAGATTTAGAACTGTTGCTGTAAAATGTCATGCAGAAGGAAAAAAAGAGAGATTAAAATTATTATTTCTGAATTCTGGCAAAACTAGGTCTATTTTTTTTAATCTGCTAAAAGTTGTTCTCGAGACAAGTGGAATTCCCTGAGGTAGTGAAGGAGGCTGCTCTATTTGTATTGAGACCTGACAGCAGTTCAGGGCTTTGTTAAAGAATATACTTCATTATCATTTCAGATCAAAGTTGTTCTCAAGCCACCAAGTAGAGGCATTTGGTCTCAGGCTGACCCAGCAGGAGAATTTATCTATTAAATAATTAAAAACTAAAAAGTAACTATTTTGAAATCCTTTCTAGGAATACTATTTCTTACCTGTAGCCAAACAGGTATAAGCAGGGAAGGAAATTACTTTCAATAGCGCAAATCAGAATTCTTAGTCTGTATTTTCTTAACTTCAAAATTTATGTAAGGTGGAAACCCTAGAGACCTCATTATCAGAAAATGAGGTGATAATTCTTTAGAAAAATAAATAAAGGAAAAAAACCACACCTGTGTGGACTGGGTGTTTTTTTTTTCCTTATAACTAGTAATAATAAAGCAAGGCTGGATTTTTCTTAGCAAAGGAATTGAGAATTATGGTCTCAGAGCAACCATGTGTTTTTAATGCACTTATTTGCAGAAGTTGCTTCTTAAATGCTTTGAATGTAATTGAAGCAATTTCCAAGTTGAAGCTAGTTATATTCTGCTGTAATATATGCTGAGAAATAATAAAAGTAATTGACTGTCCATTCCAAATCTCTCTGGACCGAAGAAGCAACTGAACAAGTTCTGGATGTTTTTCAGAACCTTGAGTGCTTTACATTTATGTGTGTATAATATTTGTATACATGTGTATAGACTCTTGCTTTTCTAGCAGCCGTTAGTGCGTTCCCATGAGGTGAGATTTCAGATAGTGATCTCAAATCTTGCTGTCAGAATAAAATTTTTGAGTGAAGCTGCACATACCTGTAAAAAAATTAAGTGTAGTAATCTTTAAACATGTTGTTCTGCTTTGTTCCAATCAGAGAAAGTCCTTGTGGAATCTTAAGGGAATAAATGATAGTTCTGGCAGTCAGCCATGATTCACAGGCGTGACTTTCTGTGTGCAGACTGGTTTGTAGTTCATGTACCAATTGTGAAAATGTAAGCAAACATAAATAAAAAATGGTTTCCTTATTCTACCAAACAGATGCTAAAAAAACCCAACATCACACAACCTAAAATATCACCTCTTTAATACTGCTTTTTGGAGGAGTGGGAATTATGTTTCTTTACATAGTGTATATACATATATAAAAATAGATAAGGTTTCTTTTTTTTTTTTCTTTTTTCTCAAACCTTATCAATAGTAGCCTTTGCTTACAAGCCTACTTTGCTCACTCCCTGAATTCTAATAAGCAGAAGCAGCGGGTGGAGTAGCTTTTACTGTAAACAAACACAATAAAAGGACATTTTTATAGTTCTTTTTAAGATAGTTTTGAAAATAACACTCTTAAAAAATAATAAACCTGTCAGAGTGACATTTCAAAATTGAGATTCTCATGAAGATAGTATCTTCTTTGCAGTCCTTATTTGGGTAAATTAGTAGGTCTCCTTATAGCTCTATGTGGTCTTTGCAGTAAGTTTTTTTTGAAATATGACCTGAACTTTCTGTGTTCCATGGGAGTATGTCTATCTGGATCATATGTTATGTGGTGCTGATTAAACTTAAGTATATGAGAAACAAAGAACAAAACAGCTGTATATCAAAATATCCTGCCATCATGAGCATGTTCATCAACTTTGGATGAGCTGAAAATGGTAATGCATACTCTAATGGCATTTTTGTGATTTTTTTTTTCTTTCTGATAATAAAGTCTTGTTTCCTAATAACTGAAGAAGCTATTATTTTAGCTGTCAGTTGCAGTAGTGTGTCATGTAATTAAAATAAGCTTTGTTCTACAGTCCTTCAAGAGAAATTAGAAGTAATCAAGACTTTAAATAGTGTTAGAATTTATATACAGCTTTTGAAACACGAGCATGCTCTTGAGTAAGTTCTTGTCGCACAGTCCTGTTCACGCAGGTACATGCGTGTGCTCCCCTGGGAGATGTGGGTTACCAGCACACACACCGCCCCGGGGAGCACCAAGTTCCTCAGCTGCACACACCTCCTGTGGGAGATGTGGGTGCCCCAGTCTCCCTGTGCTGCTCCCTGCTGCCAGTTATAAACACGCACACTGGTACCAGCACCCTCGAGATACGCGTGGAGGGGTGGGGTGTCTGTCCTCTTGGCTGGGAGGCAGCTCTGTGTAGCCGAGGCAGAGATGCGCCACAGGTGGGGTGACTTTTGATGGCATCAAACCATGTTTTCACTACCCTCTTCTTTCTGCCCACAGTTACAGATATTCAAGCTTCTCTTATGCTTCCTGCCAAGGGGAGCCCTTCCCCTTCACTTTTTAATCTGGCAGAAGGAGCATCTTCCTCCTTAGCCCTCCTCTCAGTCAGTTTTGGGTATTCCATTCACACATAGTGTTTACACAGGCATTGCTATTTTAGCAGCTATTTTTGTTGTTGCCATTTTGCTGAAGGAGGTGTATGGATTCCCCAGCAGCAGGTGGCATATTTCTCCGCTTACCTCACAAGATGGGAGTAATACTCTGCTGTATCACACATTTAGAGTACTTTGAGTCCTAATGGAAAGGAACACCTTCCCCCTGCTACAGAGGATGCTTTGTTCTTACTGGATCACTTTCCAGAGGAATCCCGATATTTCAGCAGATACCGTTACTAGAAGTATTGACCATATTAAATTATAATCTGTGATTCCTTTTAGCCTCAGAAGGGCTCCTGAGGAAGTTTTTGATTGTTTCCTTGTGTGTCACTGTACCCGTCCGAGGCTTCTGCTGTCAGTAGAACAGTGCCGAAACAAAACTGTTGTCCCTGACCACTATCCAAATATGTTCTGTGCACCAGCAGAACCTTAAGATAGCATCTGGAACTGCAGATGTCTTTCCTTGTTTTGTGAGAGCTCAGACTCGGTTTTCTTGCCTTTTTGAGGAAGGTAAACTTGTAACAACTTCAAATACTTGCTGGTGATCAAAGCATCTGCTATGCAGTCAGGAATTGGATACACTGTAGCAGATGAGTGTTTGGTGTTACTTCCAAGCCTTGTTTGGTACAGCAGCTGCGGCAGGCCATTCTAAAACTTCTTTTCTTTACTGCAGTATGTAGATTCTTCTAAAAGAAGTCTGGTTTGGTGAGCACCTTGCCCGAAAAGGAAGAGATCTATTTAGAGCCTATCTAGAAAATACATGTATGGATTCAGCCAGCTGTATTTTAGGACATCTTATGAGCTTTGTAGTATATGTGCTTCAGTCGTGATGATAGTTGCCTTGAGATAATCATTGCAAATAGCTGGTACTGGGCAAAAAAGCCCTTCTGTCCACCTTTACTGTCTAGGCTGATAAAGGTGAGATCTCTTTCCTTGGCTCAGGATATCACTGCTGCAATCGTATAGCTCAGATGTGTAACTGTGGGCAGAACACAGTTCATGTACTACGGTGTTGTTCTTCAGGTACCGAGCAGATTATGTGTAGTTTTTTTCTCTAGCATATGATGTAGTGATGAGCAGTAGCCACTGCTTTGTTTTACATTAGCAGAGAAGAATGATGCCAATTTTCCTCTTTATTCAGGGAAATGGTTAACTGGTGAAAGCTGATAACTAATTTAAATTGCAATGAATAGCTTTCTAGGGCCCTGGGCTTGCTAGCAGGTGGTATATATTGTTTCAGGCTACTGAATCACAAATAGGAAGTGTCCTACAAGCTTACTTCTGAGAGAGGGGTCACCCTCTCTGTTTTAAAAGTCAGTAAGAAGTGTCGGTGTTAACCAGAGACAGCTCATTGTCAGAGCTCCACTTGGGCATATTCCAGATTTTATGTGTAAGGAAATTGGGGCGTATCTTCTACCACTTTTAGGATTCAGCTGTTTAGTTCTCAGTTATGGAGACTGATTACTAATAGGTGTGCTTTTACATGAGTTCAGGTGCTGTATGTTAGTTGATATGTAAATATGACTCATACAGTTCATGTTCCCTAGTGTGAAAGTTAATATAAGCAGTGTATTTTAGGGGAAAAGAGTTTAAGTGACCTCTCCCCTTGAACACAGGTTCTGAAAACAAGTTCTTCTTGAAGTTTCCTTTTCTGTCCATCTCTCTGGCAGTTCTTGAAAAACTGGACCAAATTAATAGAATAGAACTGAAAATAAACTTAGACAGTGGAGTGGATTTGAGTATACCTGAGAGAAGATAGCATGCATAGGCTTGGAAGTGATAGGAACAGCAGAGAGAAACTCTGTGATCTTGCTGTGATAAAAAAATGAATAGGAGTTCTTAAGAGGTAAATGCACCATACTTTTCCTGTCACTTAAAACAAGGGACAAGGTAGCTAGTTTCCTTTGCCTTTTTTCCTAGGGATAGAACTGGCTGCTGCGAAGACAAGGAAGGAGATGCCAGTAGAAATGGTGACCTGAGAGGTCAGAGATGGGTTTAGGAATGGATGCGGTGATGGAGGGACCCAAAGGGCTTGGCTGTGCCAGGGGTAAATGGCACGATAGGAGGGCTGAAGATGCAGGGGTCTAGATTAGCTCTCATGGAAGGGTTGGTGAGAGCAGAGGAAGAAAAGTAGAGCTGTTGAGTGCAGAGGAGTGATGACAAAATGAGGACAATCAAAGTGATGGGGAAAAGGACAGGAGATGTCAGGATGACCAGACAGCAAGACCTAGGGTGAGTTACAGATAAAAAAGAATGAAAGTTTTCTTTCCAGAGCCCCAAGTAGAATCCTGTACTTATTTGCCATCTGTGAAGCTGTTTGACTTAATTAAATGCAAAAGTTACATACTTTGCAGAAAAGAGATGATGTAGTTAAGATAGAGAAAACATCATTCACTATTTTAAGAAGTGGTGTTAAGAGTCACATAATTTTTACATTTGAGGAAGTTTAACAATTAAACTAGCCAAACATTTGCAAGCTATGAAGAATTTCAAAGGAATGGAAGAAAAGACGTACTGGATTAAAAATGTAGAGAATTGAAAATGCTTATCGAATATGAAAGTACACAGTGGATTTACATTTTCTAAGAGTATGCCTTTCTGCTTGCTTTGTGATCATTGTACTCTAATCACTATGAAACTAGACTGGACATATTTTAAAAGTAAATAGTATCTAGTTTCTATGAGATCCTTCTTTAGGATATGGGAGCACTTAAGTAAGTACTAGAAGTGTTAGTGAATGAAACTGGCACAGGCAGTTTCCAGTACTGATTTTTAAATAAACACATGACTATATGATGCCGAGGCTCTCTTCCATCTGTTTGTAATAGGTCCGCAGGATTAAGGGTCTCTAGTTACTGGTTTTCCGAAAGAATTTTGAACTCTGTGGCATTGATGGTTTGTGTTACGGTTTGCTAATTAGTCACTTGCTGTTTACATGCTGTTTGGAAAAGAGGAGTTTTATTTACCTCAGTGATTTCTTTCTCCTGGGTACTTTCCAAACAAAGCCTATACTGTTCTCAGCTGGAAGGCACACAGGTAATCATAAATACAGATTTACTTCCTGCTGTTTTCTGGCTGATCCTCTGATCACATCCTCCATCTGCTCCATGATACTGTTCCCACAACTTTCTCTGCCAGTTCTTCCTAGATACTGTGCTTCTCTGCTAACTTTGATAGAAATTTTAAAAGCAATTGCATGGCAAGAAATCGTCATGCAGCAAGTTTTTTCAGTGCTCGAGAAAAACTAAGAAACTTCAGGACTATCTATAACAAACATTAGCTGGATAATTCTGTTAAATATTTAGTTTCAAAATTGTTACCAGGTTTTAAAACTCTGTTAGAGTTTTAAAAGTTCGAGTTTGTGCAAGAGCTTCACGTGGTACAATCTGCATCTTGTGTCATTTGTGTGAATGGAAGGACAATGGTGTATTCTCTCAGAATTACAAGTGAATTGTTCAAGTCAAATATAATGAAGCAGTGACTCTTCTGAGTATTCCTGTGGGCCTTAGGCTGTGGTAAGACTGGAAACCGTTTGTTGTATGATTTAGGTAACTTTGTGTCTATCCATAGGTAGAAGCTTGAGTTTGTGGAACAACTGAGTTCATAATGATTTGGAAACAGCAGAGCAGTTATTTCTAATAATGGCACTGACAATGTAACTTTGTCAAAGTACATTTGGAGATTTGATGCTTCAGTTCTTGTGGCATCTAACAACGTGAACTTGTTGGGTCAAATACTATCAAAGGTATTTTTCAAGTCTTACCTGGTCTCATTGTGTGGTAACTGAATTAGCACATAGAATTGCCTTTTGACTGCTTTAGTTCCCAGTATTTGAAAAAAAAAAAAAAAGTAATAATTAGTACTTCTGAGACTGGTCATGATAACATTTCATATTTGATCTCTTCCTGGCTGCTCTGTTCAAGGCATCCTAAAGGAGGATCGTTTATCCGGCCAAACAAGGCAAATTTTGGAGTAGATTTTCTTACTGCAATAAAGGATCGGTACGGATTGAATTATGAGCAAGATGTTCAACATGGGACAGAGAATACATTAGTATTTGGCAAGAAGATTGTGGAATTTGTTGGCATGGATTCTATTGCAGAACAACAAAGGCAAGTGTAATATATGAAAATCAAAGAGACACTCGTAGTGATTGGTCAAGTAGTAGTTCAACTGTAAGGGACAGAAGCTATCTGGCTTGCATATAATATTGTCGTATTTCTAAAAGTAAGACAAACTGCACTATGGTGGAAGGGATGAGAAATCTTCTTGTGGCTTCCTAATTTACCTGTTTTATGCATAGGAACTGGGATTGTGTCATGTTTGAGTTCATGTCATGTTCATTTATCTGAAAGGATGAGAAATGCAGTAACTTAAGGATGTGTAATAGCCCACAGTTTTAATGACTTTCAGCAGTAGAGAGCTATCAATTCAGTAGGTGGCAGTCTCCTTCTGAGTTGCTATTCCCACAACTGTTCTCCCTGTGTCTTCCTGAACATACTAAGCGTTTTAAAATACACTTTTTTAGGGCTCTTTTTTCATAAATGACACAAAGAATGTCCAAATAACTTAGAACCTCTTGCAAAAACTATTACAAGAATCTTATTTAACTTGGAGCCTCTAATTAAATTTCAATTTGCATAGCTATGTTTTGTCCGGTTTATCACTCTTTTTTTCAGTTGGATGAGGGTTGGTTGGGTTTTTTGGGGGGTATGGGCTGTGATACAACCAGAGCTATTTTATAGTAGCAAAGTGAAGGCAGAAAAATAGAGGAATGCCTGTTTTCAAGTAAGCAAGACACTGCGATGTGGCAGTCGGTACATTGCTAATTCTAAAGGAGACGATATGTATGTAACAACCAGGTATTTACATAACATACCTGTTTCTGTTTGAAGATTGCCTAACAGGATGTTCTTTCTCATTTAGCCAGCTGAACCAACTGGTAGATATCTCGGTGCGTGAGTGTGCCGTGAGCCACGCCGGTCAGGAAGAGGAAATCAGCAGAACCTGTGCTAGTATCCTTTTTTTGCTGTATTCACGGAATCACAGAATTGTTGAGGCTGGAAAAGACTGCTAAGATCATCAAGTCCAGCCTATAGATATTGCATGATACCACAAATAAAGTAGATATTTTAGCATTCCAAATGTTCACTTCAAAGAATTATATTTGTATCCTTTTATTAAAAAAAATAAATTAAAACTACAGTTTATATTTAAAAGCTTAATGCAAGGTTTACAGTTAAAAAGTTGATGTATGCAGTTTTTGAGGGAATGAAAATTTAGGATAAAAATAGAAATATTGTTATAAGTTGCTATTTCAATTTCAGAAGGCTACAGCCTTCTTTTTAAATTTAACTCTAGAATACATAACCCCATAAAGTACAACCGATACATTCTGTAGGCAACAGATGTTTACAATATATAATAAATAATGTGCGTTGTAGCTCAGTTACAGAAATACAAAGCATGTGTTATTTGTTCATTTATAAAGACTGGTAAGAGTTCCTGTCAATGCAGAAATTAGTCCTTTTTAAGATTTGTGAAGTTTATAAAAATAAAATTTGCTGTGAGCAGTAGTATCTCTTAGCCCAAGCAAGTATAATCTGTTTATTTGATTTAAAACCAAGCCCTAATTCTAATTTCTGAAAAATGAGGTTCAGATTTGACATAAGGTACTTTTTCTTAATGTGAAATTTCAGATATCAGGCATATAAATCTATCAAAAAATTTGATATCGTCTTGGGAGACAGTAGTAGCTATTGCTTCTCAAGTTCAAAATCTGGAAACACTTAATATCAGGTAAAAATATTCCTATCTGGGTTTCTATTCCTTTGGGGTGAGGACAAAAGAAAAAGGCTCTTTTAGATACAGAGTCAGCTTTCTAAAGGTAACTGGGTGCCTCAATACCCATTTTAATGGAAGCTAAGTTTTTCAATACTTTTTTTCCCAAATCTTGTTCTTAAACAGCTTGTGTGTGCTGTATTTTTTCAGACATCCCTTTTCAAGGACAGACTGGAACCCTAGTTCCTTAGCATCTATGTAAAAATAAATTCTGAAGTGCTTGGGACAGATGGGTGTTGACTGGACTATTGCAAAATTAGAAAAGTCATAGTTGTCTGAAAAATAGAATACAGATTTCAGCCATCAAACTTTATTTACAACAATTTAGGTATTTGTCAATGTGTTCTACACAACAAATTTCATTATTTTGATGCAAATTGGCTCATTGACTAGGGATGCTGTATTAAAAAGCATTATAGATTTTTACAGTGTGCTGTAGACTGAACTAAAATATCTGTAAGGCTTTTATGAAATCTGAATTATGCCAAGACCCAGTCCATTCCTGTCCTGAAATGCTGCTAATAAGAACTGTGGGTCATGGTGACAGGCCTAGGGGAAAATCTCTTGTATGGTGCTGACACTGGAAAAGGAGAGAGGAAGTTGTTAAATAAAGCTCCAGTTCCATCAAAACAAGAAAGAATCCACGAAATCATTTCAAAATTAAGAGCATTTCTAGTACACACCTGTACACTGTGGCTGACGCATGCCAGAATAATTTTCTGGTGTGAACTAACACAATAGATTAAAGTTGTAAATAGGTAGCAGCCTAAGCCTCTAATTTTGAGAAGTTAATGTTATAGCTTCAACTTTGGGAACTTTGTTTTATTGTCACAGGTCACACACTGACTGCTGACTCCTTAAGCAGAGTTGTTGGCTGTATTGGAGGTCATACTAGTCCTGAAAGAGAGCAGCAGGGCAGTAGAACTGAAGGCAGAAACCTAAAACAGGACTTTTTTCTTTAGAGTCTTGGAGATTAGCAGCTTCCAAAGCCTTCATTGTACCATACACACCATGTAGCTAAAACAATGGGAAGTGATATAAGCTAAATTAAAATAAATACCAAGTTAATTTAATGAAAGAGTGGCCCTAGTTTTTGTATTAGTTTTTATAGTTAATGTGACAAGAAATATTTTTAAAGAGATGTAGGTGTTGTGTTTTCTTCAGTATTTAGCACCGAACAGCTGTTTGTAACCTGGGTGTTATCTGTAAATCCAGTTTTGCCTAGAGCATATGTTGTCATGATTTCTTATTATCAGCATGCGTGAGAATACCAAGAATTATTTTTAATTCACCTAGAATTACTTCTTTTCAGTATTTCATTGTTGAGAAATGTAATCTAGACTGAAGGGTTTTCAGAAGTTATTTGTGATTGTACTGGGTTCAGCTAGGATAGGGTTAATTTTCACTGGAGGCTGGGAGCTGGGCATAGCCGGGGTTGCAGAACCAAACTAGCCGGTAGCCAAGGGGATATTCGATACCATAGAGGGAGCTGGCAGGGGCAGGGCTCTCTCTCTTTTCCACCTCTGTCTGAGAGACCAGCTGCTGCACTGCTGGGTTCTGGGTGGTGAAACGTCTGTGTTACATATTACTCGCGTTATATCTGGTTAAACACTACTGTTAGTTCGCTGTTACTGTTACCATTTATGTTTCATCCTTAGAACAAGCTGTTTTTATCTCAACCCCACGAGGCTCTGCCAACTGCTCCTTGCGGGCTCTCCTCCTCACTCCCGGTAGCAGGGGTGAGCGACATCTTTTGGCGCCCAACGTGGGGCCCGGGGTTTGCGATA